CCATTGAAATTAAATGGAATAATTGTGTTGTGTTTTGAGTAAAAGCAGTATGGGAAAAATACCAACACATGTCACATTTACAGTAAAAGCGGAATATACTCTTTTTGTAATATCTCTCAACGTATTATTTTTTTAAAAATCCAAAATTAGATGTTGCAAATTTTTCGCAAATAATTCATAAAAAGATTTCGCTTTGTTTCAGAATCAAAAGCTACGGAATTCACTGACGTTCATGATCCAGCAACGAATGAATTGTTATGTCGCACACCAAAATCCACAAAAGAAGAAATGGAAGTGGCTGTGAAAAGTGCAAAAAAAGCATATGAAAAATGGAAAAATACTAGTGTATTAACTAGACAAACGCTAATGCTTAGATATCAAGCTCTTATACGCGAACATTCGGTAAGTTTATAAACTTTTGAATTTTATTTTACATGCATAGTGCATATTTCTACTTATCTGAGCTGATAGAGATCCTACATTCTGTATAACTTATTTGAAATTCTCTAGAATTAATAGTAGACTGTGATAAGTGTAAAACTGTACAAAATCTATTTATATGCAAAAATATATAAAATAATATACAATAATATAAAATGTAAATTTTTAAAATTTATAAAATTTTATAAAATTTTATAAATTTTATAAAATTTTTATAAAATTTTATAAATTTTATAAAATTTTATAAAATTTTATAAATTTTATAAAATTTTTATAAAATTTATTAAAATTTATAAAATGTAAAAAATAATAATAAAATATGTTATATATACTTGTTATAATATTTAAACAAGGGCTAAAACAAATATCTGTGTAAATTCAATTTTTTAAATTATATTTTGAAAAATATGGATTTGCATAAAAATCCGCATTTTATTTATTACAAATCGAAAACTATTCATATTAAAAAATTTTCTTCTCTTGTAGAATTTATTTGTGAATTAATTATGTGTTCTTTTTGCATTCACTAATATTTTAAATTTCTGTAAAAATTTATTTGAAAAATTCTTCTTCAGAAAGAAATCGCAGAGAACATGGTAAAGGAAAATGGGAAAACAATGGCTGATGCTGAAGGCGACGTTCTTCGGGGACTTCGTAAGTTTTTTTTAAAAAATATAATATGCGATATGATTTAATATTATACGATATTATTATTAATATTGCTATCAGTATATAATATTGCCATAAATATCTCAATTTTGAGATTGAGACACTTAAAAATATATGAAGATTTAACATTTTTGGAATCTGTAATATATAATGTATACTATTAATATTAAATTTTTTACGAATACATATACATACATGTAATGTATGTATATGTAATGTATTTTAATAATATTAAATTCAATAATTTAATTAAAAACATTAACTAAGATTAATTAATTAAAATATTTATTAATTAATTAAACCAAATAATTAAACTACTTTATATTAATTAAAATATTTTAAACAAATAAATGAGTAATTATTTAGAAATTTGTTCTCATTAATTTCAATGAAATATGATGTTCCCTATACATGTTACCATCCTCGGATTTAATTTTTGAAATATTCTTAAAAATATATTTTATATATGTTAAAGAGCAAACTTCAAACTTTTGACTTGTAACGAAATATTTGAGATTATACACTTGAATTATACAATTATTTGGAATTTTGGTTTTCTCGCTAATTAAGATTGAAGCTTGATATATATATTATCAAAGACATATTTTCCTTCTTGAGTTTTACGATTTATTTAACAAAAATCATTTCTTTTTCGCCATCTATATCAAATAAATATTTATATTTGTTTTTAAAAAGTTATTCAGTTTTAAAAATAAGTGTTTGAGTTAGATCTTTTAAATTGGTTGCTATAAGACAACTGGCAATCAATACCAATAGGATGTAAAAATATTTTTAATACTATATATTGTATTTTATAACTATATATAACTATATTTAACATATATATTTTAATTTTTTTCCAAAATTTTAACTTTTTGGCCGTCAAAACTACTTTTCATAAACATTGTTTTCAGTTAAATTAGAGATGACAAGTTTTCTAAAATTTCAACGAAGTTGAATATCTCGGAAAGCCAAGCGTGTATATATATATATAAGTTATTCAAAATGATGATCTTGATAATATACACATATTGAAATCGATGAGAGGTGAAAATTTTTAAATAATTACCAATAAATATGTATTTAATAATAAGCTGAAAAGGAAATGATATTTGTCTACTATTTTAAATGGTGTCCATTGTTAAATATGGGAGTCATCCTATTACAGTATGATGGTATTTCAACAACATGAGATATTGAAAGAAAATATAATGGATATCACAATGAATGAGAAGAGAGTTGAGATGTAACTATCTTTTATTATTATTGATAAAATACCTGATAAGTCATTGATAAAATATATTTTTTCAATAAACTACAAACTAAAATATGCAATATAGAGGCAATTCATATTAGAGGCAAATCGTTTTTCAGATAATTGTGGAAGTTAAGAAAATGTTCACATACTTTTAAGTCAGTGTTATCAAACTGATGTTTCAAAATTTTTGAATGTCGATCAATATATACATGCGGGCTAAGTAATCCATTGTAATTACATTCTGCCTGGCATAAGCGTAATCACACAGGCAATAGATCATATGGCCAGTGTTGATTTATGTTGCAGAGGTAGTGGACGCGTGTACCGCAATTCCTTCGTTGCAAATGGGCGAGAGTATACCAAATATCGCCACAGATATGGACATAATTTCCTACAAAGTTCCCCTTGGTGTAACTGCCTCCATCTGTCCGTTCAATTTCCCCGCGATGATACCTCTTTGGTCGTTCCCTATCTCAGTCGTCTGTGGAAATGCCACGATCCTCAAACCATCGGAGCGTGTGCCAGGAGCTTCGATGATCCTAGCTGATTTGTTCAGTAAAGCCGGTGCTCCACCAGGATTGTTGAATATTATCCACGGCCAACACGCCGCTGTCGATTTCATCTGTGAGCATCCTGATATCAAGGCAGTTTCTTTTGTTGGTTCCGATCAAGCGGTATGTTAATATTGATCGTTGCTTTGTAGACGTTCGGTGCAGCCGAATAACGTTTCTTCTATGTAAAATTCTGCTTCTACATGATAGGTATTTTTCCGTTTCGCTTCCGTTTCATCGACAATATTCAAATGTAATAAATGTGACAACTAGATTCAATAATTTGTAATCATAATAATTTAGAATTAAATTACTTCATTTTGGAATTTGCAATTTTATCAGTTTGCAATAAAATCTCTACCACGGAAAGAATATAGAATAAAATCAAATGTCCTAAATTTTAGTAATCTAATATAAATTAATTTTGTTCAAGAGTTAACATATTTATTGCTAAATGGTTACTGGTAATGTCTTTATTATTGCATAATGATTAAAATAAGATAAATATTATTGTAAAAAATATTTTATATATAACTAAATAATAACTAGATAATGTGTTATAACATGACACATTTTATTTTATAAAAATTAAAAATTAAACATTCCATTACATACACATTAAAGTGCAATATAAAAGAATATATAAAATGTTCAAAGTATGGTGCTTCCAATAATATTCGACATGTAAAATAATTTTCTATAAAGGTTTTTTTAATTATATTTTCAATATGAATTTGCATAAAAATTTGCAATCTATTGATAGCAATATAAGTTCATTTTGTAGAACGATTTAATAATTGTTTGGCTATGTTTCTGTTGCTCTGGCTATGTTTCCCAGAATCAAATTTGTTAAAAATAAAAGTAGTTGTTAAAAATAAGTTCCCTTACGATAAAAACAATATTATGAGAAAAATTTTTGATATATGTATTATCAAATACTTTGTGATATATGTTTTATCATCTCAGTGCTATTTTTTACATTTCCATTATGTAATCAAACACAAGCTTTGTGTGAAAAATCATGAATATTTAATATAATAGAGATATATGCAAAATTTTTTAATACTATCATATTTCATAGATCACGTTGAGGTTAGACTAATTTAAAAATACATATGAATTTTAATTTTTGAATCGCCAATAATATCCTTGTAAATCTTACTTCTGTCTGAAAGAAACTCATTTTTAGAATTTCCGCCAAAAAATCAAAGCATGAATATTTTTGGAAAATATATAATTTTTGCATATTTGAATTTTGAAGAAACAAATTTGAAATACGCATGTATACGATAAAAATGTTTCATTTTACAGGGAAAATATATTTATAAACAAAGCAGCGCGCATGGGAAACGTGTGCAGTGTAACATGGGAGCGAAGAATCACTGTGTGGTTTTGCCAGATGCAAACAAAAACAAAACTATTTCCCAAATTGTGGGTGCTGCTTTCGGTGCTGCTGGCCAAAGATGCATGGCGCTTTCTGTAGCCATATTCGTAGGCAAGTCAAAGGATTGGATGCCGGAATTAGTGGAAGCTGCGAAGAAATTGAAAGTGAATGCTGGACATATACCTGGTACCGATCTTGGACCAGTAATATCGCCGCAATCTAAGAAGAGAATATGCGATCTGATTGAGACAGGAGTAAAAGATGGTGCCACTTTGGCTCTTGATGGAAGAAGATTCGTAGTCCGTGGTTTTGAAAAGGGAAATTTCGTTGGACCAACCGTATTAACAAACGTGAAGGTATATTTATGATATTAATTCAACGCGAATAGTAATTATTTTAAGAATTCGGTGATAATGCAGAAAAATCATTAAGATTGATGGAGTTTTGGTAATCAAAATTGGAAAGAGAAACTAATTTTTGTTGAAAACTTCTCAATTTTGATGTTAGGTTTTGTACAATGATTTAACTATATTTTAGATTATAATTGCCAATGTTAAACTATAATTTAGATTATAATTGCTTATAATTTAGATAGCAACTTCTTCATAATTCCATATATTATTCTTTGTAATTTTAGTAAAGTTTTAAATTTGTTTTATGAGATCTGGCACAAAAATAACAAAGCTTATAGCTCAAACAAGAAATAGAAAGAGAGAAATGTTTTGAAGATGTTTTATTTAACGAATGTTACAAATCTCAACTCAAAAGACTATAGTGTGTTAATTCAATAATATGCCAAAAGAGAATTATTTTAAAAATGATCGCAATTGATTTTCTATATTTGTTTAATCTTGCTGCGTTCTTTCAGCCTACTTTAATTTTTTTAAAATTAAAAAATATTTTTGTCTAAATAAGATATGAAAAAATTCTTTCTATTAGGTTTCTAATTCTAATAAATTTTTTTATGTTAAACATTTTTTTAAAACATTAAAATCTTTCTAGTTTGTTAAATTGATAAAGTGAATTGAAATATAAAAATTTGAGAACTACATCAGGATTAATTAGAAGAAGTTATTAGCACAATCTCGTTTCTTTTTCCTTTTATGACAGATTTCGTATGCTATATAGAATACGATTGTACAAAACGTACATGATTTTCAGCCTTCGATGCAATGTTACACCGAGGAAATCTTTGGACCCGTTCTGTCCTGTATATTTGCTGATACTTTAGACGAGGCTATCAACATTATTAACAAAAATCCTTATGGAAATGGAACTGCTGTGTTTACGTCAAACGGTGCAACAGCAAGAGCATTTATAAATAGAATAGAAGCTGGCCAAGTTGGTGTAAATGTTCCTATTCCAGTCCCATTACCCATGTTCAGCTTTACTGGTAATAAAGGATCCTTTTTGGGCGATAATCATTTTTACGGAAAGCATGTAAGTAATACAAGGTATGTTGTCCGACAAATTTCGATTTTTCTTTTTAGCTTTTATAATAGTGAATAGTTATTTCTGATAGATTTTTGCGCACTAATTACGAATTTGAAATTCGTTTATGACTCTCAAATTTTGAAAAATTTGTTTTAGAAAATTGCGCTCAAAGATCCTCAATAGCGCTCACTTGGCGCAATGTTCATATTTCATGCATGTTATTAAGGATCCCATCATACGTTCCTTTAAATTTATTAAGTTGAATGGCAAGATTATAATACAAATTTCAATATCTACAATTTTTTTGAAAATATATTATCTAATTAATTAATATATATAAATATTAATTAAATTTCGATTCGATATATTTTAAACATACTAAACAATTCTATAATAATTATAATTAAAAACTTTACTCGATATTGTTAATAATTTTCTATGGTTCATATTAAATAAATGGTTCATATTTGTATTTTTTAATCGAAATGTTACACATAAATTACGCAGGTTATCTTGACCCAATTGCATTTACATTTTTTACATTTTATTATGTACCGATATCACTGAAGTTTATATGATTTGTAATGTGTAATTTATCAAATCATTTTTGAAAACAATTTGTTCTCTTTAAAATATTTACTGTTGTGTATTAATATTAATTGATTATAATTACACTATAAATTTATAAGAAATTAGAATATTTATAAGAAATTTTAAAGTGCAAAATTGCACGAAATACAAAAAATGTATGTAAAATATCCAAAGTTTCTATGAGATCTTGTGCGTAAAAGAATTTTGTATAGATCTTCTACTTTCTTGACTATATTTTTAAAAATATAAATTTACATAAAAATCTACAATCTAATTAAAATAAAATATTTGAGAAAAATAATATCAATAAATATATATTAATAAATATAAAATTGATCTTTGCGGATTATTATCTGCGTTTGGTGAAGATATTATTTATAAAAAATATTACTCATAAAATATTCCGCTTCGTGATGCAAATGGATTAATATAGCTTTCTGAGAACATGTTTCACAAATAAACTTTATAATTAATTTACAAGTTTTATAAAAAAAAAATCACTGAAATTTGATAATCATTTATAGTATATTTTAATATATATAATCTACCTTTAATATTTTAATATATATAATCTATCTTTCTATAATAATGACAAAACACCGTCAAGTTTCAAATTTTAAATCAACGTTTGACAAATATCGTTTCGCAACACTTTTCGTCGCGAAATTATGATTAATTTTACATGATTGTCATTTCATATACAAAAATTTAATGCTTTTTGCATCAAAATAAAATTACATATCTTTGCTTGACTTTAATAATTGCTTAAACATATTTAAATGTTTATAATATTATACACACACGTACGGGTGCGCGCGCGCATACACATTATTGTATTTGAAATAATGCGTAGAATTGTTTTCCGTAACTAGAAATTATATATCTTTTTCTGTTCAAACACAAAACAAATACAAATTTGAAAATTTGTGTTCTTTTTAAATTTTATATTCGTAATTAATGTACAAAAATCTAATCTATCCAAAATAACTATTCATTATAAGAAAAATTGTTTCGTGTCGGACAGTGCTATTGTATAAATTTACAAAATAGTTGTAAATCCATAGCATTAATAAATCCAAGCGTATGATATTTTTCTAGGGTGTAAATTTCCATACGCAAGTAAAGACAATAACGCAGCTGTGGAGATCTGGGGATGCTGGTGATATCGCTTCTTCCACGGCTATGCCAACCATGCAATAAAATAAACGTTCCTTGACTACAATAATGCAAAGCATTATGTGTGGAGAGTGTCTCTATATTTCTTAAAAATTTTGCAGAGACGAATGAATAGGGCGAAAGTTACTTCCTTTTTTGTAAAGAAATAGAAGTAACTTCTCAACACTATATTATAAAAAAAAATAATGTCTTCCATTAGTCAAAAATAAGTTTGAACAAAGTAAAAAAAAAAAAATGTTTCCTATTATGTTTACGATATTTATATTTTGTAACAAAATAATAAAATATTAGTGAAATTTCGTTTGCTTTATTTTTTGTAACATATACATTTATTTATTTTTTTTTAATAATGTTTCAAAAAACTGAACCTAAAGCGAAATTTCAAAGCGGTTTTTGTACTAGAAACTTCTTCAAATTATCTAGTTTATTCATAAACGAGTAACTCTACTTTATATTTTCAGCAATAAAAGCAATTGCTTCAGCACCGATATATTTGCTCGAATTATTTTCTTTTCTCTTATTAATACCATCACTTAACAAACAAAGATAAAAAAATTTTCTAAGCAAGATCTAAGATTCAAGACAAACGATTTTTGACACATCTAACAAGAAGTTCAAGGTCGTCGCGTCTTTCAACGTCCTTGAACTCATGGTAGTTCCTTATATCCCCGTCTAATATCCACTGTTCACCGTCGGATATCGAAAACATTGAAATGATGACGAACTTCCGGAAGCTGACTGTGACGCATGCGCAACAATACCACCACCCCCTAGCCAGGCGCATCTGCGCATTTTCCAACAGGATTTCTCTCACAGGCGAGGTTCTGTCTGTCCCGGATTGTCGCATTCGTTCCGACGGAACAGGCTGCCGGAAGTGTAAACGGAGAAAATCAACCCCTTTGGTTGTTCACATATCGTAAGTATCTGTTTTCCTTCGTTCCTCCTTTTTTTTTTATTCTACGATATTTTATTCTATACATTAGAGAAATCCTTTTAGTGATCCAACGAACGAGATTCCTTGAATCTCGCCATTTGTTTGCAAAGAAATATGCTTCGTTAGCATTATCATCGTCTTCATCCTGCTATTTTTTTGCTCTTGATCAAAATTATTAGCTCGCTATAGTACCATAAAATTTTTTCCCATTTTATTCTATTTGGAAAAATAATAGTAGAATCAATAGATGGATATTTATATTTTTCTCTTTTTCATTTATTCTCTGTTTGTTTGTTTTCTTCTTTTTTTCTTCCGATTGCATTACTCGACGGTGTTAATTTTCACGTCAGCGTTGATTAGCTTCGTGATTTAATATTTCCTAAGGAAAATTAGGAATCGATTCCTCCCGGCGAAAGACATCGTATTCTGTTGTCCTTTCTTTTCTCTAACCACACTCGATAGTCCTTTGGGAATTTCGAAAAATATACATGGTCGTTGCTATTGAATCGTAACTATTTGTAACAAAGTAAAATTTTATATTTTAATATCTTATACTTTTCCAAATATTTTACTGTTTTTTACAATATACGATTTGAAATTTTGGATTTCATTAAGACTTGCATGATACTTTTATTATTCATCTTAATGAAAATGAAAATGAAATATAATTTATATTACATTTATATATCTACATTGATTAATTGTTGTTATTAATCGCTCATTTTATTTGTACTTTAGGTTTTTATTTATTATAAATCTTATTGTTTACTTATTATCTAATCTTGGTCCTAGTATAATAGGAATAAATGATTTATGTGCATTAACATGTTTTGTACATCTGGTATCTTTTTACACATTAACATATAATATGTGTACAATATAAGTTTTATATTTCATTTTTATAGCTTAAAATTCATTATATATTTATATTATTTCCTTTTATTTATTAATTTATATTATTTTATCATATTATTTGTTTGTTACTTCGGTTAATTAATAGTTTATGTGTATTACTAAAAATCTCATATATAGCTCATTCCTTTCAAACAAAACGTACATACATATCTATATATGCGTTTATAATAATAAAGATTATCATTACTAAGATAACGATTGAATTAAAACACGATTCTGTCCTATTCAATGGTGATAGACTCCCTTTTATTCGATTCAATTTTGACCGGCCTCCGCTTTAACTGACCAATGTTTGTCATAAAAACAGATTATGAGTCTTTTATAGCAATAATAGACTTCAATATAAGGCATTAGACAACTGTTGAATATCAAGTAATATCATTAATTATATCGAAAATTAGCTTTACAATATAGTACGTGTTCTTAATATTAGAAGTATTTATGTATTTTAAATATTATTCATAAAATCTATTTATCGATAAATCAACTATTCGATCAAAGGCTAATCTCCTATTGACTAGTTTAGAGAGAATCTATCATATGTACAACTCGAATAATTATTGCGCAGCTAATTAACACGGTTATTTATTTAAATTTGATTGATGAAATGCTTTTAATTATAAAATATATATTAAGCCACGTAGTTGAAATGAGAAGTTGAATTTTTTAGTAGAGTTTTAAAACGATCCATAATTAAATCACTATATTTCTTATTTTATCGCATAAAATTTAAAATTCGCTAAAGATTACTTTCACAGCTACAGAATTTTTTTATCTATCTTGTAAGCGTATTTTATTTAGTTTTATTTTAGTCTCATACTTTAGCGTCACTCGTCTTATATGTTCGTGTTTCAAAATAAAAAATTCCTCAAGTTTAAAATTAAAATTAATGTTTACAAAGTTGTAATAAGAGGCTGTTTGAAACGGTGAAAAGATTAAAGTTACATTTATATTACTATTTCTTTTTTAATAACTCAACCACGATAAATTCAAATAAATTTCAGCTCATGCAAATATGTATTAATGTACAATTTCCAAGGTTTCTTATAATAATGCTCTTGTAATGTGTCTGAATTGAAAAAAATTGCTTTTCTTTATCGCGTTCAGCACAACGATTTATGTATTTTTTTCATTTTTGTAATAAATAGTAATTAAAAAGATTATTCTCTAATAAAAAATAGTAATATATTAATATAATGCTGGAATATTTTCGTATAAAGGAAAAACAAGACAGAATAACGCATTAGCATTCTAACATTTACGTTTCTTTTGCAACAGTCCATTATATATTTTTACAGTCACGTTACACTGCTTCTGGAAACATTTTCCATTTCATTTTCTACTTTTTAGAATTTACAGTTGAAAACATATATTTTGAGTTATATATATTTCGATAAAAAGAAAATAAGATGTTCTTCATTCTTCTATTTTTATTCTTAATTATTTATTTATATATTATATATTTATAATTTATTTATTTACAAATTATTACAAAAAGAAATATAGAATGTTTGACAAAAGTTAAATTTGTACAGAATAATTTGTTTAAACCTTTTAAAAATTCAAGATTTTATTTGATTAAAATCCTTTAATCTTTTCCTTTCTATCATAAAATTGGTTTCGATTAGTGGATATTTATATAATATGAATAAAATTTTTGAAAAATAAGAAAGAAATCTCTACATTCTTCAATTTAAAATACGGTTTCTGTTATACTCATGTGATACGTGGAAAATTGCCACAACAAAGCAGTATATGGAACATATTTATCTTCACGTCAAATTTCATTTTCACATTGTCGCCAAAATGAAACTGTTTCTTCCATCCAGCTGATTTCTGTTGCTTCGTGTCGTTCCTGTTTAAGAAAACAGTTCTGATTGAACCGTAAAGATTGAGTCAGTAAATTCTACAGTGGAAACTGCTTTCAACAGGTCGTGTAATATTTACTTTATCTTTATCCAAAGAAACTTACCTTCGTACTTTCGTTAGTATTGAGTAATATTAGAAAGCATTGCCTCTTTAACTCTATTTAATTACTGAGGTAAATAATTATGCATTAGAATATAAAGTTACTAAATTTTAAGTCATCGCAAAATTTTTGAGATAATTTTCATTTCAGTCACGTTTTATAATGACAGATCTATCTGGACAAAAATTATTTTAATGATTATCTTAAAATTTTCTAATTTTTATTACAATTTATTGAAGAAGATTTTGAATGACCGAAAAAAAAAAAAATATATATATATATATATGTATATATATATATATATGTATATGTGTGTATATATATATATATATATTCACACATATATGTACACACACACACACACATCCACAAATTAATTTTATAAAATCGAATAATTGTGTCTGTTCAATACGAAATTGCTCGTTCCGAAGATTTATTTTACAAAATAACGTAGTTCTAATTATAGAAAAATTTATGTTCCGAAATTTATTAACAACATATTTTCGTGGTTTTCGTATTAAATATTCTTTCATAAAGTTATATTTTAAAATGTAGCAAAATAATTATTTATATATTATTATATTTTTTATAATATTATTATGTAATTTATATATTATTACATTATTATTATTTTATACATTTTATATTATTATTTTATAAAATTAATATAAATACATTTCTTTAATATATTAACTTTAGAAAAAATTTAATTTTTACTTGTGTAGATTTTAATTTATTCATACCTAATGTTGTTAGTGATCATTAATATTTTATCTTACAATATTGTATTAGATGATTGATTTCGTATATTTTTTTAATTAACAAAAACAGATAAATTTTTATAAAAATGTGATTATTACTCGTATTTATTACATCTCTAAGTGTATCAATTAATAAATGTAATAAAATTGTTCATCTTGAATTTCATCTATAAAATTCGTGATTCGCGTATCCAGCTACTTGTGTTTGTAATCATAAAACTGACTGTTTAATTTTCTCAACAGGTTAATTATTAAATATGTACAAAACAGTAAGAAAAGGCGATACCTGCCTGGAGTACAAAATTTTACCGCAAACAGATCATTTCTCCTCGTCTGGATCCCCTCGGACATTGAAAAAATCGGATTCTTCAAGAACATGCTGTATCATCAGAAACGGCATAATCACGTTGATGATTCTGTTTCTCTTGGGCTGCTTGTCATTACCGTTTTTCATGAAGCCAAGTGATCGGCAATTGTTGATCAAGGCGTTATTTAAAACCAATGCATTGACCAGAAACTTCTCGAGGAGTCAGGAGAAAGAAATCGGCGCGAACAGAAGCAAAAATAAAGTTCTGGTGACGACAACAATGCCGTTGACGGAATTCTACAAGAAGCAAGATGTCGAGAACCAGATGACTACGGTATCGAAATTGTTGAATGCAGATGAACAAGAGTCAGAGGAGTTTACTATCACGGGTATGAATTTATTTTCTTACTTTATATCAAACGCATTGGAAAGTTGACAATGTGCCTGGTAGTCATCATATTGTAAAAGGATTGAATCATAGTAGTAGCAGTGCGCTTTCAGTAGAATAGGTAAAACTATTTCACTGAAAGAGATCATAAATTAAAACACTAAATAGAGAGATTGATTGATCTAATCTCAATTATTAATCATATACTACTTCAATTGCAAATATTTTTGCATATGAAATGTATATAATGTATCAAATCATATCATATTATTATTTATGAAATGTTTGATTTTCAAACTTATAAAATCATTCAAAATTTAACGAGAATGCTGTTAACAGCATTCTTTAAGCAGTACTTGTTGAATACTGATTTAATGTTTGAAGCTAGCCGAACAGAATATGATGCTTTGATATAAAAAGATTTTGTATCAAAATAACTTTTGTACTTAAAATCGATTTTATTATAAAATTAAATTAACTAACGAATTAAAAATTGCTCGTACAGTTTCCTGAAAAATAGAGGAACAGAAAACCTGTCATTTATTTGAAAAATTTCGATTAAAAAATACAAATATGAACAATTGACTACAAGATTATTAATAATGATTGATTAGAAATTTTACTCGTAAGTATTATAAAATTGTTTTGCTATCGTCAAAATAGTTGTCGAAATTTGATTAATATCATTTAAAGGAAATTATAAACATTGAAAATTATATTAAGGATTTGGTCATTTCATCAATAACAATGTAATAAAATATGCAAAATAGAGCAATAATTATAATATTTATTTATAATATTTATTATATAATTTATTTATAATAAAATTTATTTCGAATCAATTCGTCTAATCATAATACATATATCTACTGAAACTTTGGCATACCCCCGTCAATTTAAAAGAAATCTAAAATAGAAATAATGTTGAGTTGCAATATTATTAATATTTATTAATAATATTTATTAATTGATATTTAAAATTTCTGATTATAATCCATTCTTGAAATTGTTTGCTTTCTATAATATTTATAGTTAGATTTTATTGTAGATAAATATCACAAGTAAATTATGTATACATATTTTGTCGTAGAATTAAATTTTAAAAATATCTTCTTATAAGAAATAAGAAACTATGTTAATACGAAAAACTATATTAACGTAATAAACTACGTTTAGGTAGAGCCTAACATACGTAGAACCTAACAGAGGACCTGTGGTATGACCACAACTTTCTTTCTTATTTATGTTTCTCGTATTCATTTTTCATATTTCGTTTCAATAAAGATTTATTTTTTCTGTAATTAACATTTCTGCAGGTAATATTTCTACGTTTATTTCATATATATACACGCGCGTGCACACACGCACGGACTACACAATAATACGTCCACACACACACACACACACACACACACACACACACACACACACACACA